ACTCTGATGAAACCTGTGAACTCTTGTGAAGCCGCAGCAAGCTCGTCAAGCCATCATGGTAAAACCTGTCAACTCGAGAAGAGGCTGTCTAGATGGGTCGACACGTCGATGGGAAGTCGTTAAAAAGCAAAATGCCCCCCCCCCCCCGTCGCCAAACAGCATCCGCTTCAACTAAATCCTCCCTCTGTACCCATCAGTGAGGGAAGGGACGATCGCAGGGTTTCAAATTGATAGTTTTTTGAAATGCTGAAGCGCGATCCAGTAAAGTATTCAAGAGCAGGGCACATCGTTGTTGGGGATTCTCCAACAAGAGAGGGTGGTATTAGTCGCTGGGAGAGAGTGGGTCGTATTTGAGCTGAGAAAAATTTCTATTGATAGTTGATTTTTCTTGTTCCAGGGACGCTGTAAAAAAATGGGGAGGGGTCGTGTTTCCCTTCTGACTTGCTGAGTTGACTCGTGGCTTTTCCAATTTCATGTGTGCTATAATCCCCCCCCCCTCGACAGCAAGATTCTTGGGTGAAAGTAGGAAAAATTTTCGGGAAATTCCAGAGAAAAAGACAGGAAGCCGGGGAAAATCTAAGAAATGGTAGAGAGAGGGGAGTCGTAATAAATCCTTAAAAAAGGGGGGTGGTGTCGTACGGACTCGAGCAGGGTCCCCAACCAATGATGGGCCCTCAGATGAAGAGGCAGAATAGAGTTCAAGAACAGCTGTTAGAAAAACCTACCCACATATTTTAAAATCGAACTCCATGGAAGAAGGAAAGGATACGAACTGTACGTGGAAAGCAATTATCGCACGACATCGGTTAGTAAGCAAAGGAGTGAGTGAGAACGAGCTATTATATCAGCGGATTTACGAGCAAAACGTACTGTTCTCTCACATCTCACATGCCTGAGACGAAAAACATAAGACAGGAATGAGCGCAAGAAAAGAAACGAATAAAAAGAAAGGATGCGATAACGATTGCATCTCGCTGCTATGGAGTGGTGCTGATTTTCGAACAGGGCAAGTCCTACGCTGGGGTTCTCTAGCTAGCGGGTTGTATGGTCGCTGGAGGAAGTGGAGTCGGAAGGAAATGAGGTGTGCTTTGGAAAAAAGTTTCGGGTTGTTGATTTTTTCTCTGGTTTTCACGCTTCATGAAGGCCATGTCACCACTACTGGGATTTTTCGGAGAAAAATTTGGGAAATTCCCGCAAAGAAAAAACTCGGAAGAAACGATAGAAAGTTTGTAGATTTGAGAAGATGGATGGGTAAGGAAGATCGTAGCAGGGTTGGAGTTTTGAGCGGAGTGGGTAGCATTTTGCGAAATTCTTCCCCAATAGGAGTACATGCCTTTTTCCAAAGATGCCACAGACCACTGAACAACTGGAGACTGAATATTAGCATTTGTACAGTGGCCTAGACGAGGCACACCCGAGTGAGGTGTGCAGTACGCGCGCACGCTGAGTGGCTGTTTTATGACGAATCGCAGTGGAACAATTGCTGTCCATTCGTAGAAAGAGGAAAACAGAAAACAATGACGCAGTTGAACAAAAGTTCTAAGCACGGTTCTATTGTTCATTGACAGTTCATTACTGTTCACTCATTGTTTTGGTCAATTGCTGCCCGTTTTCGTTTAGAACGAACAGGCCACTGCATAACGCATAGTGAAAACCAGAAAACCTTCACAGCGCTGG